ATAAAAATAGAGAATAGAGGAACTCCCCAACACCATGAGAAAGCAATCCACCAAACTCAAAATGTGGAATTCTCCATAATACAAAGGACTGGTTTCTCTAATAAATGAACTGTATTTAAAGGGGGCAGGAGGAGTACAAAAGACGTAATAGATGTAACAAACAAATGCAATAAATGGGCCTTGTTTGGATCCTAATATGAACAAACCAACTATAAACAGCATTTGAGACTACCAAAAAATTTTAATATGGGCTGGATATTAGGTGAAATTAAGAAACCACTGTTAATTTTGTTAGGTCTGATCATGATGTCGTGATTATATGAGGAGAAAAAAACAGACCTTATCAGTCAGAAATGCTCCAGCCAGTATAAACTTTCCTCAAGTCCAGTGAGGCCTCTCTAAAGCAGGGGAGAAATTTGCATGGGCTTTGAAATGGGATTTTCTGATCCAAAATAGCACTTGGTTCGTTTGGTGCAATGTACCTCATAAGTGACCAGGAATTTGGGGGAGAGAAAAATTTGAGTCAGAAGTTATGTCACTGAATACATGATTTTTGCAGTCAGAGTAAGTTTTCTTACATTTAGGGAGAAGGTCCTAGAAATATATGAAGACTTCGGGGCGCCTGGGTGGCTCAGTCGTTAGGCGTCTGCCTTCAGCTCAGGTCATGATCCCAGGGTCCTGGGATCGAGCCCCGCATCGGGCTCCCTGCTCTGCGGGAAGCCTGCTTCTCCCTCTCCCACTCCCCCTGCTTGTGTTCCCTCTCTCGCCGTGTCTCTCTGTCAAATAAATAAATAAAATCTTAAAAAAAAAAAAAAAAGAAAGAAATATATGAAGACTTCAGGAAAAAACCTGTGTGTCTACACATGAGGACCTTCAATGAAGTAGTGGTTCTTAAAGCCACTAAACCAGCCACCTAAGTTTTCCATTATAGCAAAGTCTCTGGTAGATTCGCAGGTGCAGATGAAGATGCATCAGAGATGCACCCCTCTGTATTCAAACCCGGATCAGATTTCCAGTGCTGATGCAAACATTCTCTACTGGCAGTGAATGCCCTGAGGTCAAGCAGGGTAGCTAGGCAGAAGTCTGAGCCCTAGGATGTTAAGGCTGTAAAAAGGACCTGTGTCCTAGCTGTAATGCTAGTTGCAACCACTGAAGGGCATTCAGATGGGCTAGTATTTCTGTTTGTACTGTTATTGGGGTTAGAGTTTCTAACAATAAAGTTTTCTAGCACCAACCCCATTTCTCCCATAAACCCTATTATTTTTGGTTCACTATTTTGCCAACTGCAAGGGTTTTTAGGGATGCATATGACATTGTAGCAAAAATAACTGTATACTAGTGTTGAAATGTTGACCACTTAGTAGATGTTCAACCTGATGTTGAACCACTAAATTTCTCTGGACTGCCCGACATTTTATTTCACAAATGGGAATACTACCTGACTCTCTAGATTGTTAAGATTATGTGTGTAAAGCACCTAATGTCGTCCAGCCCATGAGAGGCACTGAAGAAACAGTGGCTATTATTGTCCAAGGACCAGCTTCGATTGTCTACCCACCACGGCTCAGTGAGGCAGCTTCAGAAGCAACCAGGCCAACAGCAGAGATTCTGACACGAGCACTCAGCCATTATCCCACAGGCTCCTCTCCAGCTAAGCCAAACCACAGAAACACAAGCAGCCTTTCATTGTTCCTTCCTCCGGTCTGCAGCTCAAACTCCAGATGGAGCCACACCCTGACCCATTGTCTTGACTATTACAAACTGAGCAAAGTTCAGAAAAGTGGAAGTTTCTGCTTCTAGTGATGGTAACTCAGGTTAGTATCTGGTATGCTGAGAAGCAGTCCTGAGGGCCCACCAGTGGCTTTTCCAGGTATCCCACTGCCAGTCTATGGTAAGCCAGGGCCTGACATATCTCCTCAGAGGAATTCCCAACTTCAGAGTCCAGTGACCAGGGCCTCAGTATCCATCCTGTCACCCCTGTGCCCTCCTCATGGCTTTTGGTTGCAAAAGCTTGGTGGAGGGCAACCCCAAAGGGGTTCACTGCAAATTCTTCTGGCAGAGGAAGGGTATGCAGAGAACCTGGTCAGAAACTTTAAGAGTCCTTTCATCTCTATCCAATATGGCTTTTTCATATACACGTAGTCAGACTTGAGGAGAGTTTAAAAACACAGTGTTGAACCGACAGTAGAGCCCTGGATCTTCCTTCATGGCAGCTCATGGTAGCTCTCCTGAGACCCAGGAGCAAGCTACTTCCCTGTGAGACTTCTCAGACTCACGCCCCGTCTGCCCCCACTGTGGGCCTGAGAACTGCCTGTTTAACGATGCCTCCCTTCCTGTTCAGCCCCTTCTGACCCGGGGCATCCCGCAGACTGCACCCAGTGCCCGATCTCACTGAGGGTCGTTTTCAGGAGGGCAGCCTAGTCTAGAAAAGAAAGGAGAAAAAGAGAAGAATATAGGATGAAGAAAGTAGGAAAAAGAAAATAAAGGCAGGGATGAGGCTCAAATATTAAGAAATGGCAAAGGACTGGGCACCTGGGTGACTCAGTTGGTTAAGCGACTGCCTTCGGCTCAAGTCATGATCCTGAAGTCCCGGGATCAAGTCCCGCATCAGGCTCCCTGCTCAGTGGGGAGTCTGCTTCTCCCTCTGACCCTCCTCCCTCTCATGCTCTCTCTCTGTCTCATTCTTTCTCTCTCAAATAAATAAATTTTTTAAAAAATCTTAAAAAAAAAAAAGAAATGGCAAAGGATTTATTCATGCCTGGGAGTGTCACATATTGACTTTATCATCATATATTGCCTATATTTTAATTTTTTAAAAAAATGTAAAAACACTCAGGAAAGAATTGCAAGGGGGTAATATGGAATAGGGGGAATGAGTGAAGGAGGTCAAAAGGTACAAACTTCCTCTTATAAGATCATGAAGTCCTGGAGATGTGAGATCCAGCATGGTGACTATAGTTAACAATGCTGCATTCTATAGTTGGAAGTTGCTAAGAAGAGAGAATTTGCAGGATTATATCCTGAAAGCATTCATAGTTTTGTTGTAAAAATTTGGCCCTTTGGGGGTTCATAATGAAAATGTATGAACTATGAGGGAGAAAAGATTTTGACCAAGTAAAGGATCTTTAAAGTCATTTACGTTGTTAATCAAACCTAAGTGAGGTTTTTCCTCACTCTGTCCTTATTTTTCCAAATGCAGTTGGTCACCAGGCATTTAATGTTAATAAATGAAATGACATTTAGTGCCATCCATGCTGTCCATGAAAAAGTGGCCTGCACAGAGCTTTTCTTCCCAGACTCCCATGGAATGCACTAACAGAACAGACAGATCTCCAATTGTTGCTCATAAAGTGCTTCCAGACTTGGATCCTCAGAGAGAGTGTCTCACTTGCAAGGAGTCTGAGAACAAGCTTTCACATGCTCCAGATAGCAGGGCTTGAAAACACAGGAGCAGCCTGTTTTCCAAAAAGGGAGAAGAAAAGCAAATGTCCAGTTGATTGGACAAACTAGTTGTAGGTAGAAGAAGAATGTGAAATGTGTAGGAACTTGAGGGTGAACATCACTCATGAGGTGAAGGTGGATTTTGATTGCTGCGTATGGGCTTTGTGGAAGGAGAACGCAAATGTTAGAGCTGGACCATTTAAAAATTCATTGGTTGGGGGAGCCTGGGTGGCTCAGTCGTTGGGTGTCTGCCTTCGGCTCTGATCATGGTCCCAGGGTCCTGGGATCGAGCCCAGCATCGGGCTCTCTGCTCTGCGGGAGGCCTGCTTCTCCCTCTCCCACTCCTCCTGCTTGTGTTCCCTCTCTCACTGTGTCTCTGTCAAATAAATAAAATCTTAAAAAAAAAAAAATTCATTGTGTTCAACACCACTCTCTACAAGAGTTAAGGATCAAAATACAATATCAAAATTCACATAAGAACTTAGAAAAATAGGTAAAACATAGACAAAGAGAAGTTATGAGTGACACTCTCCTATCCTGTCTCTGGAGCCCATTTGGGTGTTTTAAAGATACCTCCACAAAAACTAAACCTTAAAAGAATAGAATTTCCACCAACTTACTAGCCTCGTCTTTCAAGAAACTAAAGGAAACTGAGTAAGATTATTGCTTAGAGATTTGGAAGAATTCCAAGTATATTCATATTGCTAAGATTAAAGCCAGCCCAATTTAAAAGTTGCATGAAAACTCAACTGGTATTGATTCTAAATTAAATCCAAGAAAATTCTCAGGTTGATTTCATCCATTTAGAGCTGTCTAAAATAAAGAAAAAGTGTGAATAATATCTATTAGGATTTCTGCCAGATTCAAGTTTTCACTCCTATCAAAAGGATTATATTGAAGGAAAAGGAAGAGCCTTCTTTGCTCCTTCATGCATGAAGGACTTGTTCTGAAAATATAAACTATCCATGCAAATTTAAAAAATTGCTCTTCTGTGAGAGCTTATGGTATGTGGTAAAAGTACGATGAATGCATTGGAGCTGCATATTAATGATCTATTGTTGCATTTTAAATTACCCCCAAATTTAAGAACTTAACATTTATTATCTTACACAGTTTCTAGGGTCAGGAATCCAGGAATGGCTTAGTTGGATAGTTCTGACTCATGAGATTATAGTCAAGTTGTCAGCTGGGGCTACAGACTTCTGAAGGCTTGACTGGAGCTGGAGAATCTGCTTCCAAGCTTATTCATTTAGTTGTTAACAGGCTTCCATTCCTTGTCACTTGGGGTGTTAATTATATGGGATAATGTTCATTACCCAGTGGCTGTCTTCCTTCAGAGTGAGTAATGAAAGGAGAGAGGGAGAAAGAGAAGCCACAGTGTCTTTTATAACCTAATCTTGGAAGTAGTGGTATGTTGCAGGTGCATCCTGGCACAGTGTGGAAGGAGACTCTATGGAGGTATACCAGGATACCAGCAGGGGACTGCCTTGGACACTGGCTACCACAGTCTGCCCTCTGGGCCCCAGTGATTCATGTTCCCCCCACATGTGTGTACTCACCCCATCCCAAGACTTCTAAAATCTTCTTTCCATTACAACATCAGCTCAAAATCCAGAATCATGTCATCTAAGTCAGGTCCAGGTTCACAGAAGGCTCCTTGGGTATAGTTCCTTTAGTATGGTCCCGCTTAATCTAAAAACCAGAAAACTAAAGAGAAAAGTTAGCTGTCCTCCCCACAGCTAGCATACAATGGTAGAACACATGTAGGGTAAACAACACAGGCATTATGTCCTATTCCAAAAGGGAGGAAATGGGAGGAGTCATAGCTACTCTGAAATCCAGCCAGGTGAATGTTGGAAGTTCCTTAGGACTCAGCGTTGTTCCTACCCAGGTGTTTTTCTCCAGGGCTCTTGGCTACACCTCCTGAGCCATCCCCCCTTTTTTTTTTGTCCTGAAAATTAGTACCTGTAAACAGGTGAATAATTTTCCAAACTTACAGTAGAATGTGTGTGGTGGGGGTTGTACAAAGGGGGGAGGTACAAAGGCCTTTTTTCATTTCATACTTTTTCTGTCCCTTTGAGTTCTAATTGGCAATGTTTCTGCTGATATTATTCTTTTTAGAAGTTTTGTGAATCCCTTACAAATTTTATCAGATCCATTCTATTAGACAAAAGTCACACCCACAAATCTCCTTGAGATAACCTCTTCTCTACCTAGGGATTCTGCTGAGGGCCCAATTGTTTGCTTGAGAGGATCTGTGAGCTACACCCTTATCAACATTAGGACCTTTTATGTGACTAAATTGGTACTCCAGGGCACAACTTTTGATCTTTCTCAGCTTCATTTTTAGACCATGTTCCCCTGATTGTGTCCTAGATTTAACCTTCGCTCTAAAGACATTTCTTCCTTTTAGCATTGTTTGTCACAGGTAGAGACCGACATTCTTAAAACTAATAAGTCCTGGCTCCTTTTGCTTACCATTTCTTCCTTAAGTGTATCTCTCTCTTATTGCATGTTGTTATAAAGAGCTCTGAGAAACCAGTGGCACCTTCAGCACTCTGGCTGGAAATCTCCTTAGCTAGATCACCCACTTCTTTAGGTACATTTGCTATCTTCCACACTACTGAAGATAACAATGTTGCTAAACTCTCTGCCCCTGCATAAGAAGGATTCTCTGTCCTCCTTTTTCTTTTTTTTTAAGATTTATTTATTATTTGAGAGATAGCATGTGCAAGCCAAGGGAGGGGCAGAGGGAGAGGGAGAGAGAATGCTAAAGCTGAGCTCAGAGCCTGGAGTAAGGCTCAATCCCAGGACCCTGAGATCATGATCTGAGCTGAAACCAAGGGTCAGATGCTCAACTGACTGTGCTTCCCAGGCACCCCGTCCTCCTTTTTCAATAAGATTTTCCTCGCTTTCTTTTAAACCCCAACCAGCAACCTGCTCAAAGTCCAAAATTCAACTAACAGTCTGTTGAAGACTATTTAGGCTTTCACTAAGGCACTCTTTAAAATCCTTCCAGCTACCATCCCCTGCCCAGTTCCAAAGCCACTCTTCAATTTTAGGTATTTGTTTGGTAGCACCCCACTTCCAGGTACTACAATCTATACTCGCTATCTATTGCTGTGTAACAAATTACCCCCCAAACTTAGCAGCTTAAAGCAACAAATATGTACCATCTCATAATTTCTGAGGACCAGGAATCCAGAAACAGCTGAGTTGAGTTATTCTGGCTCAGGGTCTCTCATGAGGTTGTGGTCAAAGTGTCAGCCAGGCCGGCCATCTCCTGGGGGCTTGACTGGGGCTGATGGTCCCACGTAACAGTCTCACTCACATGGGTGTTTGTCATGTAGGCCTCTCAATCAAACTGCTTATTACATGGGAGCTTCTCAGAGAGAAAGAGAGAGAAAGGAAGAAAGGAGGAGGGAGGGAGGAAAGGAGGAAGGGAGGAAGGAAGGAAGGAAGGAAGGAAGGAAGGAAGGAAGGAAGGAAGGAAGGAAGAGAGAAAATTTGTGTATGGTTTTAATATTCATAAAATTTCCAAGAATGCAACTACCACATAAATCAAGGAACTATTACACATTGTTTTGTTTGGATTTTACTAAGTTGGTCATAATATGAAAAAGTAGCCTAACTATCAATCTGCATTTGTATCTGTAGCATTCAAGATGATTCTACAAAAATATTCTTACAGACAATTCCATTATGTCTTCTAGTGCAATTGAGCCCTACTGCAATACTGACATGTATCAAGAAAATCTCCCTACATGCAATTATAAAAATCAGCATAATGTAATACACTAATGGAAATATAAAAGTTGGATACAGAGAAAGTAGTTACATTATAAATGTTTCATTTAGGATAATCAAAGTATTTACAATAGAAATGGGTGTTGGGTCTGATAGATTTGAGACCGACAGATCTAGAGCCAAGTGTTCCGATGGCTGAGGGTACTGCCTTGGAGGATGTACACTGAAGGAAACCCCTCTTCGGGGTAACTTACCCTGAAAGAAGCTATGTGGAGTGAACTAGAAGGAACACTGGGCCTTATTCCTTATTGATAGTACTATTAATTTTTAATTACCAACTTGTTTCATCTCCCATTATCACCATCTAATAGATGCTCAGTGAAAATGTCAAAAAGAGGCACAACAAAAATCTCCTTTGATAAATTCAGGATACTACCATTTATTTCTTGAAACACTGATCAAACAAACAATGATTTGTAAGTTCCATGCAAAATGATCCTGTAATACTTTTTATCACATTTTCCAATTTTGATGGGTATAATTTCCTATATAACTTCTAATCTAAATCTGTAGTGTGAGTAACCTAGTGAAGTGTTATCAGGCCAAAATGAGGGCCTCAAGGGCCCAAATAAATCAGAAGCTGTCTTATTTATTATGTACATTATATTTCACTTCTCAAGGGGTTGGGAAACATCTTGGGCATTTTTTTACGTACTGCGTGGGATGGTAGAGATTGATAAATCATCTGGAGACAGAGCTTCTTTATTAAGAAAGAAAACTCAGTGAATTCTGTACCCCAGGCCCCACTCCCTTCGCGCGATACACTCCTATTCATGCTCTAAGTTTCAAGACCTTTCCCGACCCCCCAAGTCGGGCATAGGCACCCTTCATCAGCTTCCCTAGCATCTACCACACTGTCATGGGAGTCACAGTGAGGGCAACTGTTGGGTTACTTCTTTGCTTTTCCCACTAGACTCCAAGCTGTGTGCGGGCAGGGATCAAAGCTTATCCATTGCTGTCCCTCATGCCCCACACATAGTAGGTCATCAGTGCTTAGCCAGTCATTCAACAAGGTAATTAAGCACTTAACAAACTGCGTCAATGTTGGCTTCTATACCAGTCCACCGGGCAGCCAAGAACAGGACGAACCTTCAGGTCTGGTTCCCATTGACCACCGACTGATGCAGTGTCTGTGCTTTCTACAGCTGCTCCTCCAAGGCCCTAAGGCTCTTCTGTTTGGTCTCTCAACTTCACTTCCAATTAAGTTGTAACTCGGAGGTGTGGAAAGCTCCGTTCTTAGTCATTTGTTTGTTCAGTTTAGCACAGTGGTTCTCAGATTTCAGCATGTCGGGCCTGCCTTCAGAGTTTCTAATTCAGGAGGTCTAGATGGGGGTCAAGAATTTGCATTGCTAACATGTCCGCAGGTCCTGCTGGTGCTGCAGATCTGAAGACCACCTTTTGAGGATCACTGGCTGAGCAAGAAATTCCTGCCACTGTTATCCCAGCAACAGATCTTAAAGACGTCTCCAATTCTGAATTTTAAAAAAATGTGTCTCTAGTTGCAAAAGAGTTATAGACATCAGAGGTAGAGAGAATATGGGATACCAACAGGCTCCTGAAAATATTCTAAACTCCTTAAGATAAACCTGGTTCTGAGAAGAGGAAAAAGCTTCTCAGGCTTATCTCAGGATAAGCCTGAGAAGAGGAAAAAGAGAATCAGAAGGCCACTTCCCATGGAGCAGCCAAGCTGAGACCTGGCAAGGCAGAGGATGATGGTCCAGTAAAACTTTCTAGACCTGAGGCCTCCACCATCTCTCTGCCATACAACTACACCCACCTCTTAACCCTGCTTGAATTGAATGAGGACTTCACAATTCTAACAGTCTTAGCCAAATCTGAAGATATTCCAATGCATCTGCATCTTAATCTGTTTGGGCTGTTATAACAAAGTACCATAGACTGGGTGGCTTATCAACAACAGAAATTTATTTCTCACAGTTCTGGAGTCTGGGAAGTCCAAGATCAAGGTGCCAGCAGATTCAGTATCTGGTGAGCCAGTTTCCTGGTTCATAGATGGCCATCTTCTCTCTAAAACCTCATATGACAGAAGGGACAAGGATGCTCTCTGGAACTTCTTTTTTTTTTTTTTTCCTGCTCTCTGGAACTTCTTTCATAAAGGCACTAATCCCATTCATGAGGGCAGAGCTCTTCTAAGGATCCCACCTCCTAACACCCAGTGTGATGATATTCTGGGGGTTAGGATTTAATACCATCACACTGGGTGTTAGGATTTAATACATGAAATTGGTGGGACAGGCACACAGCATTCAGTCTATAGAAATCTATTTTTTGAAAACATGTGTTATTGGGGGCGCCTGGGTGGCTCAGTCAGTTAAGCTTCTGCCTTCGGCTCAGGTCATGATCCCAGGGTCCTGAGAAAGAGCCCCACATTGGGCTCCTTGCTCAGCAGGGAGCCTGCTTCTCCCTCTCCCTCTGCCTGCCACTCCCCCTCCTTGTGCTTGTGCTTGTGCTCTCTCTCTCTGTCAAATAAATAAATGAAATCTTAAAAAAATTTTAAAAACATGTTATTTAGTTAATAGTTAGCATTTATTATCTATTAGCTAGTAGGAACAATGTTTCCAACAATATGTGGATTTGAAATGTAATGGTTTTTAGCTATCTTGCAATATGTGTACTTTTTCTTAAATAAGTGAGCTCTTAAAAATTACTGATTGGGGACACCTGGGTGGCTCAGTCATTAAGCATCTGCCTTCAGCTCAGATCATGATCTCCAGGTCCTGGGATTGAGCCCTGCGTTGAGCTGCCTACTCAGTGGGAGTCTGCTTCTCTCTCTCTCTCCCTCTGCCCCTGCCCACAACTTGTTCTCTCTCTGTGTCTCAAATAAAGAAATAAAATCTTTTAAAAAAATTACTGATCAGATAAGTCTTTAACTCTTGCCATGTTTACCTAAGCAGTTATCTTTCCCCCCATCTCCCGTATGTTATTTTCCTTTTGTAGAGGAGGACAATCTTTTTTCCTCTACCCTTTTAGGTTCAATCCCTGAGGCCCTGCTAATAAAATTGAGGAGAGACTGATTAACAGGAAAAAAGACATATAAGTTTTATTTGATGTCAATACTTTTATGTGGCATGGAGGGCTACATAGAAAAGAAGTGAAAATCCCAAGAAGCAATTAGACCTGAGAGCTTATATACCATTATAACAAAGGGCAATAAACTGTGGAGATATAACAAGACAAAGGAAAAGGGGTTTGGACTTCCAGGAGCAATAAATTTGGGGAAGGTAAATATATGGGAGAAACTAGCAGAAGAGATAAGCATTATTCAGTAAGGTTTGTTTATGCAGATTCAAGTTGGTGTTGTCTTCAATGACAATAATCATCTTCTCTTCCAGGTACAAGGGAAAGGAAGGGGACAGCTTCACAAAGGTAAATGTATGCCCTACTTTCAGTCAGAAATGAGAGGGTAGAGATCTTTTTGTGTGTCTGCTGTTTCTCAGTTACTTACAGCTCAAAATAATCCTTATGGCAAAGCAGCATACTTTGTGGTGGCATATTCTAATCCCCTTCACTTTCTAGACTGTAAGCTCACTTACAAAATGTAAGTATATAATAGGGTACTATTCTTGAAATAGCAATTAATGCTTCTCACTCCACCTTCTGCCCATGTAGTCAAGGCCAGGTCAGGCGTTTTCACAGAAGGATTTCTGCACCCAAAACATGTCTGGGGAAGAGCATAGAGAGCTACACAAGTGGAGGGGCACATTTTGCAACAGTCAGTGACAAAAGGCCAATCAAGACAGTGAAGCCAGACAAGGATCTCCAGGATAGAATACACCCCAAACCAAACAGCTTCCTCTTTGTCACTAATGACAAGACCCAAATGGCAGCCTGAAATAGAAAAGATGTTTATCTTTATTAAAATTAAGAATTATTGCCTGCACACCTGTGTTTTGGACCCAGATACATACCCACCACCCATACAAGCTTAATAACCATTGGTTATATTGTTGGATATCTAAGAGTTCCTTAAGTTGTAGTCTGAGAGTTCTCAAGTTGTAACTTGGTTGTTGTTGTTGTTCCTTATCACAAAAATCTTTTTTTTTTCTTATCACAAAAATCTTATCATTAAATATTCTTTGGGGGTGCCTGGGTGGCTTGGTCAGCTAAGCATCTGATTCTTGGTTTCAGCTCAGGGTCATGATCTCAGGGTCCTGGGATCAAGCCCCACGTCGGGCTCTGTGTTCAGTGGCAAGTCTGCTTGAAATTCTCTCTCTCTCCCTCTCCCTCTGCCCCTCCCTCTGCTCACACTCTTTCTCTCTCTCTAAAATAAATAAATATTAAAAAAATAAATATTCTTTGGAAGATCATCAACCTACTGCCCTTTATTTCTTGCTGAAGCATTTTGGAGATCCAAACTATGTATAATGAACATCTGCAACTCCACCATTCTGCTTGATAAATACAACATTTTAGATATATTTAAAACCCTCTGTGTTTTTCTCCCAAATCTCATCCTACTTCCATATAGTAAATGAAGCCATGAATGTTTTTAATAACTATTTATATATGTAGGACAATTATATGTAGATAGTTTTATGTAAAAATAATAAATTATTTTGTTTTAAGCTTTATATAAATAGCATATGGAACATCCTTCTGCAACTAGTTTCCACTCAATCTTATTTTAGGCATTTCCATACTGACACCCATAGTGCTAACTCGCTAATTTGCAGAGCTATACCACAACTTGTCACTTTTCTGATTGAAAGCAGTTTTGTTTAATTATTTGCTTTTATAATGAATATTGAATGTCTATTTCTTTAATATCTCCTTCCATGTGTGCAAAAATTTCTCTAGGATACATGCTCCAAGTGATATTGCTGGGCTATAGGATATGCGCACCTTCAGATTTTCCTAGGTATTGTCAAGTTGCTTTCCAAAGCGGGTGTGCCCATTGGACTCTCGTAGCAGTGTTTGACAGTTCCTGTTGTTCAACTTCCTCACCAATTCTTGATATTGTCAGTCTTTATACATTTTGTCAATCTGATGGGTATGAAATGGTATATTACTTTAAAACTGGATTTACCTTGGGGTGCCTGGCTGGCTCAGTTGGTAGAGCATGTGACTCTTGAACTCAGAGTCATGAGTTCAAGCCCCATATTGGGTGTGGAAACTACTTAAAATAAAAAAATTTTTTGAAAAAAAAATTGGATTACCTAATTAATGGAGAGGCACGTTTATTGGAAAATATGATGCCTTCCTCTATGAATAGCTTGTTTGGATTGTTTGCCCATTTTTCTTTTGGTCTTCTTGCTTTGTAAGAACTTTCAGTGTTATCAACTATGTATTGCAAATCAATTTTCCCAGTCTGCATTTTCTTCTTTTAATTTTGTTTTTTGCTATCTTAATATGTAGAAGTTTTAAATTTTGTGCAGGGATATTTCAAATTTGTTTTCTTTGGCATTTTTGTCTTATCTTCATGATTTAAGGAGTAGAGAATAATTTACATCCCACAATTTTTTTAAAAGTTATACTTTTCACATTTAGATCTTTAATCTTCTGGAATTTACCAGTCTGTTGGTGTAAGGTAGGGATCTAGTTTTAATTTATTTTTATGTATACATAACATTTTCCTAGTAAGATTTATCATTTTCCCAGTAAGATTTATTAAACAGTCTTGTCCTCAGTGATCTGCAATCCCGTGTCTATCATACCAAATGTGTGGTGATAGGTGGAGCTGCTGTCGGGCTCTGTTTAGTTTCATTGGCCCATTGTCTGTTCTCTTATTTTAAAATGATGGCAAATAAAGCAATCTGGTAAAAAGTTATCCTGCCTCTCTCCCTTCTCAGTGATCTCTAACATTTGACTACATGTAGTCCTTTACTCTTCAATGTAAATATAATATCAGTTAGTCAAGATCCTCAAAAAACAAAACAAACAAACCCTAGTTATGAATCAAACTGTCTTTTAAAAACTGAAGTTTTTTAAAAAACTGAATACTCACACCTATTTCACTCGCTCTTTGAGGCATTTATTAGCTAGAATTGTACGTTTGTTTGAGACCCTAAAAGTCCTGGGACAACTGTCCTGACACTTTCTGGAACCATGTCTATGGTAGCTTTGGAGAGAATGGCCTGGCCAAAAACTTTGTTTTTCTAATCCCAGGGAAGATACAAACTCAGCAGTTGCCCTATGGTGCTCCAAGTGATTTGCCCAAGGACCTCCCACTGAGATCTCCATGAACTTGCAGCTTGGATAACTCAGTGAGGTCACCCCCTGCAGTTTCACAGGCAGATGGCCAAACCCTGACACAAGGCTGCAGTCAGAGTCCCAAACAAGTACATACACATAGCCTCCTGTCTATAGCTTGAACCCATGGTCTGTATCAATTAGGAAAAACTACGAAGAAGAGTATATCAGGCTTAATGTTTTCAAATAATTAAGTTTTAGATAAGTTTTAGGATGAACAGCTTTTGCAAAAAGCTTATATCCATAGGTAATTTTCTACTAAACACTAAAGTAACAAGTGCTCTATTTGCCTAAAGAATTCTAAATTCAGTATAATTTGCAGCTAAACCTAGAACTGGAAGAAAACTTAAAAGATAATATATTTCAGTGTTGGTTCCCAATCTTGACTACACTTTGGAATTATCTGAGTGACTCCAAAAAATCTCAATGCCCAGGCTGCACACTAAATAACACTGGGAAAAGAGACCAAACACTGGTATTTTTCAAAACTGCTTGAGTGATTTCATCGTATAGCCAGTGTTGAGAACCAGTGGCTTAGGTCAAGCCTTTAGCACATTAATAAAATGAGATTTAGAGAGGTTAAATCACTTTTAATCATGTTCTAAACTTACACCATCCAATTGGTAGGCTTGGCCACTTGTGACTTTTTAAAGTTAAACTTATTAGAATTGAATAAAATTAAAAATTGAGTTCCTCCAGTTGCACTAGCCACTTCTCAGGGGCTCAATACTCGCATGTGGCTAGTAGCTACCATGTTGGGCAGCATGGAAAACAGACATTTCTGCCATCACAGAAAGTTCTTTTGGTCATTGTTATAACAGAAATAATCCCACATGTATTTTTTAAAAGTCATTCTTTGAAACATGGCAGAAGACCACCTATACCTTCCTATGCATTGGGTTTTGATTTCTTTCTAGTTATTTGGTAACTTCAGAAGCACTTTCAATTATTGTCACAGGATGATCAATATATAAAAAAATTTAAACAAGCACAAATCAACATTAAGGTGTATATCCATAAAGCACCTAATACTACAATTAAAGCAACAGCCTCTTGGGCAAGTATAGTTGTGACTCAAATCCAAGAGATACCCCCACTCTACGTCCACACAAATCAATGGGTAATGATCCAGGAGGCCAGTTTTTTTCCTTGATTGGTAAAGAGAGCACATGAAGGAAGAGGAAAGGGAGCGCTCTACTTCCCCAGTGACTGGTCTATCAGGCTCAGGGGCAACTCGTAAGTGTGTCTAGGCACAATCTTGGCCCACGGAGAGCATAAAGGAAGTTGACAGAGGACAATCTCCTCCTCCTTATGGATTGAAAACAAGACACAGTACGAGAACTAAGCTAAAGTAACCTCTATTATAGGATTCCTTACTACCATAGTCTTTTTTTAAATTATAAGACAGATTTTTATCACCTAAAACTTCTTCGCCTCTTAAAGGAAACATGCCATGGATCAGATTTCATAAAGCAGCCTTGGTGCTAAAGGGATTCAAATCAGTTTGTGTTGGTTGTCCTTTTGTCACTGCAAGCATCTAGAAAAGTCTCAACATTTTATTAAGTTTGTTTTTTCAGTTGTGTTATGAAATTGAAACTTAATACCACCATACCAGAATACATTGTTCCTTGTCTTGGGACTTAAGTTTCGTGTTCCCAAGTGCATTATATCAGGCAGTGAGATAGCCATGCCTGGGTCTAAACAAGAGGAAGCCAGAAAGCCAATAGTAACAACCTTAAGCCAACTTGGTTGATTGCAGCATGCGAGGTACTGTTCTGAGTGTTTTACATGGGTGACATCATTTAATTCTCACAACTCACAATGAGGTGAGTGCTATTATTATCCTCATTTTACAGATGAAGAACCTGAGGGACGAGAAGTTAAGGAATTTGCCCAGGGCCACCTAGCTATAAGTGATAGAACTGAACTTCAACCCCTGCCAGTCTGACTCCAGAGCCCAGCCTCTTAATTGTTCTTCTCTTTTCAACATGTACATACTTTCATACCAATGTCATATTTTTAGCCTGTCAAGGTAAAGATCACAGACACTGGACTGGACTGGTCCACTTGGGTGGGAAAAAGTTCCCCAGGGTGGCAAGTTGTGGGTGTGAACATGTGCCCCCTTAGCCCCAGGTTTTCCAAGATAGCTTTCTTGGGGTGGGGGAACCCCTCATCCTCACTTTGACACCTATCTCCTCCACTCCCTAGCACTACACACCTCACTTTCCTTGCAAAGGCAACCGTAGTAGCTGCAACAAAAACTATTACCAGGGACTGGGAAAGAGAAGGGAGGGGCCCACAACAAACAGCAGAAATGCAGATGCACCTCGAGAGGTTACACAATAGTCCCTAGTGTCTGGGCCCTGGATAGACACGGGGGAGTAAGCTTTCCTGGCTCAAGGCAGGGGGCCGAGATGGATAGATATCAGCATTAATTAGACCATTATATAAAACATCACCTTTCTTAAGGCCATATTCTCTCCTTTGTAACCTTTACAAATCTCAGCATGTTTCTACACTGCAGCCATGAATATAAACAAGAAACACAATCTAATCCGAGGGTGACTAGTTTCCCAGCCCACGTGAACCAAATTATTTTCTCACCCAGAGAGCAACGTGATGTTCTTAAAGGCAGCAGAGTGTTCTTTGGGTCTTTCATATCCATTGGGCTTCTGTTCTGATTGTGCTACAAGCTAGTACAACTTTCCTACAGTCTTGCTTTGAGCCCTTCAGATTTGTCCCCCCCTCAGCCCCCACCAATGATTCCATTTATTTATTTATTTGCTTATTCATGTATAATGTTATCATTCAGAGCAGTTTTAGGTTCACAGCAAAATTGAGCAGAAAGTACAAAGAGTTCCCGTATATCCCTTGCTCTCCCCCTACAACACACACAGCCATTGTCAGTGTCCCTTCCAGAGAGGTACATTTGCTACAACTGGTGAACCTTCACTGACAATCTTAATGACCCAAAGTCCATAGATTACACTAGGGTTCACCCTGGGGTGTCATACATTAACTTACAAATTTTGACAAATGTATAATGACATGTATCTGCCACTATAGTATCATTCAATTACTTACTTTTTAAAGTATATTATGTATATACTTTGTCCCTGAGAGGCTCCACCTGCTTTTTTTTTTGATAATTCAGAGATGGTCCCATTGTTTCTGGAAAGCCTGTAGAGTAACTCTCTATTCTCACTGTGAATTCACTACCAAGGCCTTTGCATTTGGTCTGACAGTGAGTGACAGCCCAGGAGGCTGGGGCTCTGAGATACCCCTCAGGCAGCCAGTCTAGGAGCCAGAATCCTACAGTTGTCTTGGCAACAGCTGAAGTTTCCTGTCCTGGGCTGAAAAGCGTGTTGTCTCTTCATTTGTGAAAAGTCTATTTTACACCCTCAATCTGCCTGGGGCATAAATATGCCAGGAATGGAACCCTCAGGATTGGATTTCCTTTTTCTGATTTCAAAACAGAGGGGAAATATCCACAGTAGGAATTGAACAGGACTGCATGCATCTCATACTGGGTATTGGGTTCAAATATTCCAACATAGCCAGAATCTAAGCTGGGCAAAGTGTCAAGCTTGCACATAATTTTATTTTAGATGCAGCAACTTTTATAGACCATTACAGAGAGAAAGCAATGGCGATCCTTTTGCAGGAACCCTGCCGTCACTTGTATTTTAAAACCCTAAAACAGAGAATTTTAAAGAGAAAAAAAGTTTAACATCCTTAAGTGACTACATATTTGATTATGTCTAATATAGCTGAACTAGTATTTAAAGAGCTCAGAGCACTTTCCAAATGTGGGCTTGTTCTAGTCTAAAACACTTAGGAAGGCCATGAGCCTTGAATTAGACAATAGACATTCTCTCCGTTTCTGGTTTCTTTTCTAATTGATGCTTCCGTTTGAGCTGAAAGAGTTGCAATTTCCTTGATTGTCTCTCCTTCAAAATTCCCCAGACCATTGCTTATCCCAAAGCCCAAATGTCTGCCTATCCCAGTTGTAGGTATGTAAATAACATTTAATCTTTCTTCCTTCCTTTGAAGAACGAATTATGAAGTCTCTAACAAACATCCGCCAGATTTTATTTTAAAACTAGAAGGATAACTTGATTTCCTGGAGCAACGAGATTCACGTATTTCTACTCTCCTGTAACTTAAAATCACTAGGGGTGGCCACCCACCCAAGTGGTTATGTGCACCTGGGCAAGAACAGCTTGGGCAACAGCCAGATGAAAGAGAGTGTTTGGTACTAAGTAGATCCAGGAGGCTCCCCCAGGTCTAACATCGGGAGGTCAGACCTGCTCCTGCCAATTCTTTGGTATCAAGGGAAGCAAAGCATAAAGACTAAAGAGCAGATTTTATGCTTTGTCTCCCTTCCCCTAGCAGAGGATGTCAGGGGTCCCAGCACAGTGAAGAATATCATCAGAAGTACCCCACCCGGCAGTGACAAAGGGCTGTATTGGAACAGGTTGAGAACCCAGAGAGATTCTGCTCACTGGCCTCGCACCCCTGACCTGGTCTGAGATAAGGAAACTCATCACCTGTTATCTTTTGAGATTCCATAGGTAATAGATGCTCGAGAAAGGATTCAATGCCACAAAGGATCCTACATTGAGTTAAAAACACCTGGTTTTGCCTTTAAGGAACTTCTGAAGTGGTTGTGGCATATTTGTTTTCCAATAAACACACTGTGCTTGGAGTACAGACAACAAGCTCTTCGGAGGGAGGTTTGACTAATTCTAGGGAGGGGGCAGGGCGACTCAGGGAGGAAAGCCTCACAGAGGCAATGTCCAAGCTGAGATCTGAGAGAGCAGTAGAGATTGGTCAGGTTGAAAATAAGGGCAGGAGAGGCATTCTACTCGAAAGGGACAGACCTGGCAAAGTCACAGAGACCTTGGGATATTCCTTAGGGAGTATCAGCTATCAAGATGTTACTAGGGTAGGAATTTTGTTATTGACGGGACTAGGGAGGTAGGATTCAGCTAGATGGTAAAGGCTTTGCTTACTCTAAAGCTAGGATGAAAAACTCAAATGCCTTCAGGAGATTGGGCAAAAAATAAAGTGGTGATATTCTATAACACATAGCGAACACCAATACTGCTTAAGAGCAATGAATTTAGATCTAAGAACACCAAATCACTCAACCAAAATACCTCGGCAGACAGTACAGTCAGCCTCCTTGGCCATTCATATAAGGGTACAGGCCCCAGGACAAATGGAAACCCCTAGGATACAGATTCCTAGGATACAGATCAGTCAGCAAGAGATACCATATCTCAGCTAACAAGAACACATGTGAATCATAGAAGTCATTCAGGCAGCAACATGGCTGATGCTGAGACTGGGAGGTAGCTAGCTGTCTGAGAGCTCAGCTCCTTTAAGAGTCCATAAAGTGGGGCTCCTGTCTGGCTCCGTCGGGGGAGCATGCAACTCTTGATCTCAAGGTTGTGAGTGTGAGCCCCCTGTTGGGTGCAGAGATTACTAAAATAAATAAATAAAAACTTAAAAAAACAAAGATTCCATAAAGCAAAACCCCTTGTTTATAATCATAACACACCCCTTACAATTCATATGCTGAGGGCCAGTGTTCCCACCCCATGTACCCCAAAAAGGAAGAGATCACTCCATTGTTTTTATCAATAAACTTTCTATCCCCCCATGATAGCTTTTGTCATCATCTGTTCTCTTTACTTTTTCTTATCTGTTTTCTTTATTAAGGCCAAAAGTACAAATGAGGAAGCTTCTATTTGAGTTTTATTCTTGTTTCCTTAAACTATATGCTATAAAGTTTTCCTTAAAACTTTATATTTATATATGAATAAATAAGGCCTTGCACATATATGCAAGAGATTTTTTCCATCTACCTACAATGCCTGCAAGGGGTTGGGGAAAGTACAGTCACTTCCTGTCAGGCTGTCAGAGGCCCAGGACTCACGCTTTGGTAAGACTTTAATCCCCTTGAACACGGGTTGTATGGGCATGTGTGTGTGTGTGTGTGTGCGCGCGCACATGTGTTTTCAGAGGGAAGGAACTGTGCTGAGTCGCCGTGTGTCCTCCTCTGTGCTTACTGCGGTACAAGCCGCGCACATCTGCCCAGCTGTCCGGGCAACAGCGTGCCAGCTTGTCGAGTGGGTGCCCTGGGGATTTATGACTTGATTGTAAATACCTTACTGACTCCTAGGAGGAGGAAAAAAGGATGAAGAGCTTACTATGAACATGACTAGTAACTGCTAGGTGTTTTATGTACTGTTTTATACCTATTCCTCACAGTCTTACAATATAGTTACTTTTTTTCCATTTTATAGGGGAGGAAATTGAGGTTCAGGTAGCTTCCACAGCATCACAAACTGTTGTACCTTTGGTAGTCTGATGCCAAAACCCAAAATCTGAACTCAAGAGGGGGAAAAAAATTCCCTATTGAGAAAGGAAAATATTGACGTGTGGCCTACCTGATAGGTGCTGTTCAGTGGAAATTCTCAGGTTGACTTTTCATTTTCCTTGTCTTTTTTTCCTCTTTCTTTTCTTTTCTTTCTTTCTTTCTTTCTTTCTTTCTTTCTTTCTTTCTTTCTTTCTTTCTTTCTTTTTCTTTCTTTTTCTTTCTTTCTCCACCCCCTTTCTTTTTTTTCAAAACTCAGGCTCTTACAAGTTTGGAAGATGAAGAAATCACGTTACACACCTCTGATAAAATCAGATTTCTGAACCTGCAAAATGTAGTGTGAAGGAAAGAAGTATTCCCTTGCCCTGTGATGACCCTGCCAGGACACATCCCTCCTGTGAGGCACAGCCCCAAACACACGGTCACCCTTACAGCACATTCACAAATGCAAAATGAAATTTTAGAAAACTCTCTTTGAAACCCCTTCTCTGCTGATAGGATCAGCTGTCAAGGCGCAGTCCCGAACCCTTTCCCATCCAGCCTCTCAGCAGAGTTCCCAGACAGTCATCCTGCCAGGGTGCCTCTGTCATCCAGGACTCTCAGGACTCCATTAGCCTTTCTTCCTTCTAACCCATAACCGCACGTCAGCATGGAAACAGTGTGCTCAGAAGGAGCTGTACAAGTGTGGTAAGATTCTGAACTGTGGCAAATGGCGCTTTATTGGCAAGAAAATCCCAAGCTAATCAGGGAGAAATAAATGAAAGCTTCTCGGGGCGCCTGGGTGGCTCAGTCGTTAAGCGTCTGCCTTCGGCTCAGGTCATGATCCCAGGGTCCTGGGATCGAGTCCCACATTGGGCTCCCTGCTCAGCGGGAAGCCTGCTTCTCCCTCTCCCGCTCCCCTGCTTGTGTTCCTGCTCTCGCTAACTCTCTCTCTGTCAAATAAATAAAATCTTTTTTTTTTTTTTTTTTAAAGATTTTTATTTATTTATTCATGAGAGACAGAGAGAGAGAGGCAGAGGGAGAAGCAGGCTCCCAAGAAGCAGAGAGCCCGATGCGGGACTCGATCCCAGGACCCTGGGATCATGACCTGAGCCGAAGGCAGACGCTTAACCATCTGAGCCACCCAGGCGCCCAAATAAATAAAATCTTAAAAAAAAAAAAAAAATGAAAGCTTCTCAATTAGCCAGGGAAGAGGATAAAATAATCAATAAGGGAAATTTGCTAACATGGATAAAGTTGAGCAACAGACCTGTAATAAAAGGAAGGCTAAAGAAACAACCAGATAACAAATAGGTTTATTTAATGCCTTTTCGTTGTTTATGGGCTTCTGTCTCACAATACTTGATAGACTAGGGATGCAGGAAGCAAGGCAAGAAAGAACAAATCTGTGTGAAAGAGGATTTGAAATGAGTCCTCCCATCCCCCATTTTATTTATTTGTTTGTTTGTTTGTTTATTGAGCAATGCCTTACCTTTTAGAAAGGGAGACTCTTAAATTCTGCAGTAAGAAACCTGAGAAACAGAGATAGAGACCCAGACAAGGATGAGCAACCACACTAAGAGACCTAGTTGGAGAAGTCAGTGGGTCTATAACTCAAAGTTCTATGACTTCCTCAAACCCAAGTCAGAAGATGTCCATCAAATGCATTACTATCAAGGCATTAAGAATAATGTATTCTAGGGGCTCCTGGATGGCTCAGTAGTTAAGCGTGTGCCTTCAGCTCGGGTCATGATCCCGGGGTCCTGGGATCGAGCCCCACATCGGTCTCTCTATTCAGCAGGAAGCCTGCTTCTCCCTCTCCCACTCCCCCTGCTTTTGTTCCTTCTCTCGCTGTCTCTCTCTCTGTCAAATAAATAAATAAAATCTTAAAAAAAAAAAAAAAGAATGTATTCTACTTGACATGGAAGGATGTTCATGATATTGAGTAAAAAGGTTGGTTGTGGTTTTTTTTAAGTTTTTATTTTGATTTGTTAGTTAACATATAGTGCTATATTAGTTTCAGGTATACAATATAGTGATTTAACACTTTCATATATTACCTGGTGTTCATCACAACAAATGTGCTCCTTAATTCCCATCACCTATTTCACCTATCCCCCCAGCCACCTCCCCTCTGTTAACCATCAATTTGTTCTCTATAGTTAAGAGTCTGTTTCTTGGTTTGCCTCACTCTCTCCCTCTTTCTCTCTTTCCCTTTGCTCATTTGTTTTGTTTCTTAAATTCCACATATAAGTGAAATCATTTGGTATTTGTCTTTCTCTGACTTACTTCACTTAGCATAATATCCTCTAGGTCCATCCACGTTATTGCAAATGGCAAGATTTCATTCCTTTTTATGGCTAATATTCCATATCTATCTATCTATCTATCTATCTATCTATCTATCTATCTATCTCATATCTTCTTTATCCATTCATCAGTCAATGGGCATTTGGGCTGTTTCCATAGTTTGGCTATTGTAGCTATTGTAGATAATGCTGCTATAAACATTGGGGTGCATGTATTCCTTTGAGTTAGTATTTTTGTATTCTTTGGGTAAATACCTAATAGTATGATTGCTGGATCATAGGGTAGCTCTATTTTCAACTTTTTGAGGAACCTCCATAAAGGTAGGTTATAAATTGATATCATTTTATATTAATATACTTTTATTGTGGTAAAATATACATAGCATAAAATTTACCATTTTAGCCATTTTAAGTGTACAATCCAGTAACATTAAATAGATTCACATTTTTGTGCAATCATCACCATTATCCATCTCCAGAAATTTTTCATCATCCCAAACTCTGTACCCATTTAAACAATAACTCCCCTTTATCTCCTCCTCCAGTACCTGGTAACCATTATTCCACTTTCTGTCCCTATGAATTTGACTAGTCTGGATACCTGTGTAAGTGGAATCATACAATATTTGGTTTTTTTGCATTTAGATTATTTCATTTAGCATAATGCCTTCAAGTTTCATTTGTGTTATAGCACAGATATAGATCAGAATCTCATTCTTTTTTAAGTCTGAGTAATTTTCCATTGTATGTATAGTCTACATTTTGTTGATCCATTCTTCCATCAAGAACACTTGGGTTGTTTCCACTTTTAGGCTATTGTGAATAATGTTGCTTTGAACATTTGTCTACAGATATCCGTTTGAATCCCTGCTTTTAATTCCTTTGGATATATACCTAGAAGAGGAACTGTTGATTTATGGTAATTCTATTTAATTTTCTGAGGAGATGCCATACCGTTTTCCACAGAAGCTTCTATTCACATTTTATAACTATTTGTGAAGTACAGAAAAAGAGAGACAAAGATTATATACCAAAATGTTAGCAGTAATTTCTGAGTTGTGCAATTATGGGTTGATTTCCCCTAAGCATTAGTTATGTATTAATAAATAACAAATTTCCCCAAAACTTGGCTCTAGAAACTACAAACATTAATAATCTTTTGCAATTTCTGAGGGCCAGGAATCTGGAGGAGCTGAATTGGTTAGATCTAAGTCAAATTTTTTAGGGAGGTTGTGGTGAAGGTGGCAGCGAGGGCTGCATTCTCTGAAAACTGGACTGGGGCTGGGGGGATCTCTTCCAAGTCTCACTCCTATGGCTGTTGGCAAGAGGCTTCAGCTTTTCACCATACAAGCTTCTGCATAAAACTGACTATGACATGTTTTCTCTCAGAACCAGTGATGAGAGAGGCGGTGGGAGGGAGAGGCTAAGCTGGAAGCTGCCAAGTCTTATAACCTAGTCTCTGCAGTTACACGTCACTTTTGCACAATCTCTTGTTCACACAAGACCCACTCTGGTATAAAGTGGTGAGGGACTATTAAAAAATATGAATATCTGGAGGTGGCGGCCATCTTGGGGGCTGGCTACCATATCCCAATGATCTGGATTTTCTTCCTCTGCCCCAACGTTATTGAGAGTACAATTGACATATAAGGTTGTGTGAGTTTAGGGTATACAATGTGTTTATTTGATACATTAATATACCACAAAATGATTACCACCATTGCATTAGCTAACACTTCCATCTTGTCCCATAATTACCATTTTCTATTGTGGTTAGAACATTTAAGATCCTCTCTTAGCAACATTCAAGTATATAATACAGTATTACTAGCTAAAACCACCATGTGGGACATTAGATCCCCAGAATTTATTAATCTTATAACAGGAAATTTGTACCCTTTGGCCAGTATCTCCCCACGTCCATCACCTGTTCGGCCCCTGGTAGCCACCACTTTATTTACTGTTTCTCTGAGTCTGGCCTTTTTAGTTTCCACATATAAGTGATATCATACAGTTTTTCTCTTTTTCTTACTTCATTTAACCTAATAGACTCAAGGTTCATCCAAGTTGTCGCAAATGGCAATTTCCTTCTTTCTCATGGCTAAATAATATCCCACTGTGTGCTTATATGTAACTAAAACATCTTTATCCATTTATCTGTGATGGACACTTAGATTGTGTCCATTATCTTAGCTATCGTGAATAAAGCTGCAATGAACATGGGAGTGCACATATCTCTTCAAGATAATGATCTTCATCACCCAGGACTGGGATTGCTGGATCATAGGGTAGTTCTATTTTGAATATTTTGAGGACCCTCCATACTGTTTTCCAGAGTGGCTACACCAGTTTTCATTCCCACCACCAGCGAGCCAGGGTTCCCTTTTCTCCACAGCCTCGCCAACACTTGTTATTTCTTCTCTTTTTTGACACAGCCGTTCTGACAGGTGTGAGGTGACATCTCCTTGTGGTTTTGATTTGCATTTCCCGGCTGATGAGTGATGTCAAGAACCTTTTCATGTATTTTCAAATTTAACTAAAATGTGTATCTTTGGGACATAGAAATTATACAGGGAAATGCCAATAGCCTGTATAACATTCGGAAGCATTAAAAGACAAAAAGACCCATAAAAATATCAGGATTTCTCCAACTACTGTCTGACTTCAGAAAGAACCAGTTGGTTAGAAGACATTTTCATTGAGGGACGTTTTCCTACTGGCGCTCAGCTGGGTTTGACCCCATCTTCAGTGCGCAGTTTGAAATAACAATTCCAACAGCGGTGCCACAACTCCACGTCAGTGGTGAGCGTACAGAATCCAGGAGGCTTCCATGGGGGCTGGAGATGAACTTCCAAAGCCTTTCTGGGTAGCCTGCTGCCGTGGTCCCATCTTTGGTTGACCCTTTGTTGAGGACTGAAATTGGACAGTTTTACTGAAGGAATAAAGCTAATGTCTTATCTATAAGATATACCTGCCTCCGGAAGAGATAACATATCACCGCTTTATTGCTCACGGTTTAAAGATATTTTAAAACTTC